TATTAATGCAGCCTAGGATTGCCTTGGCTTTTTTGGCAGCTGCAGCACACGGCTGGCTCACATTTAAGGGATTGTGCATCAGGACTCCCAAGATCATAAACCCAACCTAGAAATGGACCAACGGGACTTCCCAGAAGTGAAGAAGACCCGCAGCCATCTTGTAGTGCTCAAAGAGCCAACTTACTTCACCCGTTCAGGAGTAGTTGGAAGCCAAAGTCATGCTTGCGATTGGTCCTACTGGGGGATGGCTGTTTCTCATAGATTTTCTCCCAGGTGGACCTTCTTCTGGGCGTCCTTCAAACCAGAACCCCAGCTTCTGTTTGCAGCTGCTCGGAGGCGCTCGCAGCTCTCTCTCGCACTGCCGTTTTCCTGAGAAGGTGTGAAGAGCACCAGCCGAAACAGCGGCGCAGTCAAAGATAAGGGTTGGTTTCCTGCCTACGCTACACAATTGCAAAGCGGCCGTTGGAAGCCAAAAACTGAAAAAAACACAGATCTGGCCGGTAGGTGGGGAGTAAATCATATATACCTTGGAGAACGTCTGTGGAGATTCTCAAGTCATCCAGGTCAGGGTTGTCCCAAAGGAGCTTTTTTCCACGAGGCAACTGGACTTTCTTGTTTTTCCTTTGAAGACGTTTTGCTTCTCCATCCCAGAAGCTTCCTCAGCTCTGACTGGATGGTGGGGGAATGGAAGGATTTATACTCCTTGCAGACAGCTGGTCATTTGCATTCTTTTAGGAGTCGTTGAGGCCACTTGGCTGTCCAGTCTCTTCTTAAAAACTTCCAGTGTTGGAGCATTCACCGCTTCTGGAGGCAGGTTGTTCCACTGGTTAATTGTTCTCACTGTCAGGAAGTTTCTCCTCAGTTCTAGGTTGCTTCTCTCCTTGGTTAGTTCCCATCCGTTGCTTCTTGTCCTGCCTTCAGGTGCTTTGGAGAATGGCTTGACTCCCTCTTCTTTGGGGCAACCCTTGAGATATCGGAAGACTGCTATCATGTCCCCCCTCATCCTTCTCTTCATTAAACTAGACATTCCCAATTCCAGCAACTGTTCCTTCTATGTTTTAACCTCCAGTCCCCTGATCATTTTTGTTGCTCTTCTCTATACTCTTTCCAGAGTCTCAACATCATTTTAACTATTTTAACTTTTTAACTATTTTAAGTCAAGGACTATTTGTATTTTGCCCACCAGAATCATCTGGAGTCAGAGGACTTTATAATACAGGTAGTCCTCAACTTACAACTACAATCCAGCCCAAAATTTCTGTTGCCGAGACATTTTAAAGCGAATTTTGCTCCATTTTACGACCTTTCTTGTCACGGTTGTTAAGTGAATCACTGAAGGTTGTTAATTTAGTCACACCGTTGCTAAGTGAATCCGGCTTCCCCATTAACTTTGCTTGTCTGAAGGTTGCAAAAGGGGATGAGGTGACCCTGGAGGACACCACAACCATCGTAAATATGACTCTGTTGCCGAGTATCCGAATGTTGATCACGGGACCCTCGGGGAGGCTGCAACGGTCTTAAGGGTGAAAAACGGTCACGAGACACTTTTCTCAGTGGTCACTAAATGAACTGTTTTTAAACTTTTAAAAAAATAAGGTTCTACATTTAGGCAAGAAAAACCAAATGTACAAGTATAGTATAGGGCGTACCTTGCTCAATAGTAGCAACTGTGAGAGGGATCTCGGAGTCCTAGTGGACAATCACCTAAATATGAGCCAGCCGTGTGCTGCAGCTGCCAAAAAGGCCAACACAGTGCTAGGCTGCATTAACAGAGGGATAGAATCAAGATCACGTGAAGTATTAATATCACTTTACAATGCCTTAGTAAGCCCACACTTGGAATACTGCATCCAGTTTTGGTCACCACGATGTAAAAAAGATGTTGAGACTCTAGAAAGAGTACAGAGAAGAGCAACAAAGATGATTAGGGGACTGGAGGCTAAAACATATAAGGAAAGGCTGCTGGAATTGGGTATGTCTAGTTTAATGAAGAGAAGGACGAGGGGGGACAGGATAGCAGTCTTCCAGTATCTCAGGGGCTGCCCCAAAGAAGAGGGAGTCAAGTTATTCTCCAAAGCACCTGAAGGCAGGACAAGAAGCAATGGGTGGAAACTGATCAAGGAGAGAAGCAACCTAGAACTAAGGAGAAACTTCCTGACAGTTAGAACAATTAGCCAGTGGAACAACCTGCCTCCAGAAGCGGTGAATGCTCCAACACTGGAAGTTTTTAAGAAGAGACTGGACAGCCATTTGTCCGAAATGGTATAGGGTTACCTGCCTGAGCAGGGGGTTGGACTTGATGACCTCCAAGGTCCCTTCCAACATTATTATTATTATTATTATTATTATTATTATTATTATTATTATTATTATTATTATTGTTGTTGTTGTTGTTGTTGTTGTTGTTTTGTTGTTGTTTTGTTGTTTTGTTGTTGTTTTGTTGTTGTTATTATTATTATTATTATTATTATTAAACTGAGGACCGACCCGTGTTCCCAACCATTTTCATCGGCATCCGACTGTTGACGGGCTTTGTTCTTTCCATGTTGCCAACGTACATTAAAAGAAAGAAAAAAAAAGGGAAGAAAGTGGAAAAGTTGACCAGTGCATTATATTCAAAATGAGAATCTTCCCAATTGGGGAATGAGAACAGTGAAGAAAATTGTAGGGATTTTTTTCCATCTCAAAACAACAACAACAACAACAAACAAGAGGCCAAGAGGGTCTTTTTAGCAGTTGCGATGGGAGTTTGAATTGCACAAACTGCTCGCCGAGATAAAAGGGGGCAGAGGGGGAAACCGCAGTGAGCTATTCTTTTTTTTTTTCCGCTCGCGACGATGCTCGAAAAGGAAACGTGCCCAGGAAACGCGCACCGCGATAACAAGAGTTGCTGCGGTGCGCGACTCCATCGCTGCTCTCTGGCTGCTGCCGATACCCTTGCTGAGAACTAGCAGCTGCCTCGTTTGCAGTAACAGAATGCAGGGAGTCCTCGGCTTACATCAGTTCGTTTAGCAACCGTTTGAAATTACGACAGCACGGAAAAAAAATGGACTTCTGTCCGTTTCTCACACTTACTACCACTGCAGCATCATGTGATCAAAATTCAGACGTTTGGCATCCGGTTCGTATTTATGACGGTCGCCGTATCCTGGGGTCACGAGATCCCCTTTTGCAGCTTTCTGACAGGCAGAGTCAATGGGGAAGCCAGATTCACCTTAACGACGCACTTTACAACTGTCATGACTAATGACCGTAATGGGCAGGTTCTATTACGGTCGTACTTTTGAGGACTACCTGTAGCTGGAATGAACAGTTTTCAAGGGACCAGAAAGAACTGGTAGAGCCAGTTTGGTCAAGGGGTTAAGGCGCCAGGCTAGACAACAGGTGAGGTGGCGGGTTCGAGTCCCGCCTTATCCATGAAAGCCAGCTGGGTGATTTTGGGCCAATCACCAGGAGACAATGAGTTCTAGTCCCGCCTTAGGCATGAGTGTCGGCTGGGTTACTTTGGGCCAATCCGAGGGAGACGGTGAGTTCTAGTAGTCCCACCTTAGAGATGAAAGCCAGCCAGGTGATTTTAGGCCAATCACTGGGAGACAGTGAGTTCTAGTCCCACCTTACAGATGAAAGCCAGCCAGGTGATTTTGGGCCAATCACTGGGAGACAGTGAGTTCTAGTAGTCCCGCCTTAGAGATGAAAGTTGGCCGGGTGATTTTGGCCCAATCACTGGGAGACAGTGAGTTGTAGTCCCGCCTTAGATATGAAAGCCAGCTGGGTGATTTTGGGCCAATCACCGGGAGACGGTGAGTTCTAGTCCCGCCTTAGGCATGAAAGTTGGCTGGGTTACTTTGGGGCAATCCGTGGGAGACAGTGAGTTCTAGTTCTGCCTTAGGCACGAAAGCCGGCTGGGTAATTTTAGGCCAATCACTGGGAGACGGTAAGTTCTAGTAGTCCCGCCTTAGAGATGAAAACCGACTGGGTGATTTTGGGCCAATCACCGGGAGACGGTGAGTTCTAGTCCCGCCTTAGGCATGAAAGTTGGCTGGGTTACTTTGGGGCAATCCGTGGGAGACAGTGAGTTCTAGTTCTGCCTTAGGCATGAAAGCCGGCTGGGTGATTTTAGGCCAATCACTGGGAGACGGTAAGTTCTAGTAGTCCCACCTTAGAGATGAAAGCCGGCTGGGTGATTTTAGGCCAATCACTGGGAGACGGCGAGTTCTAGTCCTGCCTTAGGCACGAAACCGGCTGGATGATTTTAGGCCAATCACCGGGAGACGGTGAGTTCTAGTCTCACCTTAGGCATGAAAGTCGGCTCCATGACTTTGGGCCGGTCCCTCTCTCTCTCTCTCTCTCTCAGCTCAACTCATCTCACAGGATTGCTGTTGTGGGGAAAACTAGGAGGAGAAAGATATATTTGGATATGTTCGCCACCTTGAGTTGTTTGTAAATAATCAACAAATGATCAAACCACGGAAAAGAGGCATATTGGTGCGCCTCCTGCTGGCCACGTAGATTAACGTCAGTACAAAAAGCCCGAACGTTTTTCCTCACTTTATTTCTCTCTGTTCTCCATGCTAAGAGGGGAGAAAAAGAGGCCACCAAGAAGTCCCGGAGAAGTCAAGGAACCCCCCCCACCCCCCAAAATGGGCACAACCCAGCAAAGCGATGGGCAACTTTTAACCAGGGCTGGCTCAGGAATTCTGGGAGTTGAAGTCCACGGCGCTTAACACTGCCACTATTGGTCACTCCCGTCACAGCGGAAAACCTTCCCCCAACCCCATCAGATCCGAATCTGTTGTGGATATTTGGGGAGGTTTTCTCTGAAGAGGAGAAGCGAAGCGGTCCACCTTCCGGGGCCACCAGTTCAAATCCAGCCTCTTTGTCCAACGGGAGCGAAGGAGATCCAAGAAGAAAAGAGCTAGTAGTTTTCCATGTAGCCGCTCCTCTGCAGCCATCTTGAACTGAAATATCCCTTTTTTCACAGGCACCCGAGGGGCAAAAACCTAGAACTCGGTCATCTTTTTGTGCGTGTCGGCTTTCTTCTGCTCCTGCTGGAGGCTCGCCTCCAAAGCCCGCAGCTCCCCCAGTTTCTTGTGGGCCCCCGACAGCTTCTCTTCCAGCTTCGCTGTGGCCACCGTGTGCCTAGGAGTCAAGAACAGAGAATCAGTAATGAAATTTATATAGAGCAGTGGTTCTCAACCTTTTTAATGCCGCGACCCCAACCGGTCGTAAGTCGAGGACTAAACCGGTCGTAAGTCGAGGACTAAACCGGTCGTAAATCGAGGACTACCCAACCGGTCGTAAGTCGAGGACTTTCCCTGCCCGGGAGCGCCGCGCATGCGTGGACCCGCCCCCTGCGCCGGCCGAGGCGTAGCTGGCAAGCGGCAGAGACGGAGCAGGCCGACCACCAGCTGGCCCAGCCCAAGGGAGGTAAGGCACCTGCCGGAAAAGGGGAAAAAAATGGCGGACAAAAAAATGGCGGACAAAAAAAATGGCGGACAGCCTTGCTTGGCGACCCCCATGAAATGGTCGATCGACCCCAAATGGGGTCCCGACCCACAGGTTGAGAACCACTGATATAGAGTGATATATTCAATGAAAATTTGTTTTAGAAAGGTTTTAATGAGCCTATAACAATATAAATAGATAGCCTATAACAATGAGCCTATAACAATATAAATAGATGTTAGTTTATTTTTAATTATATAACTTGGACGAAATGTTATATTAGTGAATGAATTGGTGTTAGAAAGATATTGACTTGATTATAATGTTTTCAAATGAATGTTCATTAAGCTTAGGTTTAAATGTGTGAAGAAATACGGGTTTTTATAGATTAATTTTTTTTTATCGATTAATGCAAGTTGATGGCTAGACATAGCAATGAATGAATTTATTTGAAAATGTATTAATTTGATTATAATATCCCATATAGATAGAGAGGGAAATTTTTAAGAAATAATGGGTATATATTTACTATGATTGTTTGTTTTTTAAAAAATGGATCACCATGTTTCCACGTGGGTCCTTAAGCTGTGTTGGTGTAAAATGGAAAACTAATAAAAATTGTTTTGGGGAAAAAAAAAAAAAAAGAACAGAGAATCAGGAGCGGAAGGGCCGTCCCCGGCTTACGACCACTCGCTTTGTGTCTATTCAAAATGAGGACGGACATAAAAAAAAACCCCGAGGACTCATGACCTGGATTCGAACTGC